GAGGCCAAAAAAAAGAGGGTATTTTCAGTGAAAAAACATAGCTTAGCACTATAAACTGGTTGGGTGGTTATGTGCCTTGTCTTATGTATATCTTAGTTATACAGATACACAAATAAATACTTAATAAAGGTTTATAAACTGAAGTACATGGGGTTTTTGCATTTTTCATATGGCACTGCGTATGCCTCAGGTCTGTGCTCAGACACATTTAAATGGTCTGCATTAACCGTCATGTTAACAACATTAGCTTTCCAGTCCTTTTTAGTTTGCTTGAATTAATCACTATTCTTCCTGCTTCTTCCAGCTACCCTAGGCTTCAGGGGTAAAAATTAAAGCCTGTTTCCCTGAGAGCTATTCTTAAACTTATACAAAGCTATTAAAACCTCTAAGATGAGAATTTAATTAGAGATTACCTGTATGGGTAGCCATGATATTTGGACCGAAATATCGACAACAGAAAGCTGAAGAAAAAGACCACCAGACCCAGGCCTACCAAGCATATTACTGGAAAGAAAGGAACATTTTTATTATCACATAAAAGATTAAAAACTGGAACATCTACAAAGAACATTATTTATGTCAATCATTTATGGAGAATTTTGACACACTTAAGTAAAAAAATGTTACACCCCTGACTACTTATGTCCACTATGTTCTGATACATGGAAATAATATTTATGGTTATTAAGAAAAAAGAAATTCTAAGTGTGAGTGTATTTTCAAGGAAAAAGAACAGCAATTTAGAACTCAAATGTATGTGGTTGCAAACACCTTGCTGCTGATAATGGATTTAATAACTCTGTAAATGATACATATCAAGAAAGTTAGTTCAGGAATTTGCTTGTTTATTTCAGAAGAAGTGACAACAAAACAAACAAATCCAAAACAACAAAAGGAACAAACAAACAATTTAGAAAAATACTCCTTGACTAATGGAATCATGTTCTCTGTAGTCAACCACCTAAGGCAAAAGTAACAGCAAAGGTAGTTCAGTTAACGACTTTGTCTAGACCTTAGTCACTAAAATACTTTACTGTTGCTAAGTTCCAAGACTGGTAGCCAAATCACTTTTTAGTCTTAATTTGATAGCAATATAAATCTTTAGGTTTTGAAGATAAATAACAATGAGACGGACCTTTTGAACGAATCCAGATGCAAGCACTTTGAGCCTTTTCAGGCATAGAATAAATTAGCAAAGTAAATGCCTAAATTAACAAATAAAATCTGGAACATCAGTTGGCACCCTGTGTAATAATAGCATAAAGCCTTTTTGATCATGATAGCTTGCTCAATTGTATGTTAATAAATTTTTAAAAAGGCAACATGATACAAGCTGATGCATGTAATTGTGATGCAACTCATCTATGTTAGATAATGTTTTGGCTCTAGTGACTTGCTTTGATTTTAAAAGCTCTCTTCTTATACTGTTCCTACTTTAGCCAAACCTTTGCTATTTAACAGCAATATTCATGCTTCAAAAGTGTGCTGGCTTTGAGTGAAGGATGAACAACCATGAAGCCAGGGAAACTGACAATGATGCATTTTTTCATTAAAACGGGCTGTGTGGAAACTGACATATGTCAATTGAAATATAAAACTTCTGCAGTTTTGAGAAAACTAGCCAGGTACAAATCTTATGAACACACTTCACTATAAAGAAATTACCACTCACAAATATGATTTCAAAGCATGGGTAAATAAATCACAAAGCATGAACAGTGCAAGGTAGGTACATGGAAAGCATTCACATAATTGCCACAAGTAGAAGAGAGCCTGAATTTGTACTGCAGCCCACTGTTATTTTGCCGTGTTCTTGTTCACGGGCACAGATCTCAATCATGATCTAAGATCAGCCAATCCTCCCAGCTTCCTATCATCAGCGAACTTGCTTAGGATACACTCTGTCCCCTTGTTCAGGTCATTGATTAATATGTTAAACAAGACCAGACCAAGTATTGACCTCTGTGGGACACCCCTGGTTACTGGCCTCCAACTCAACCCTGCTCCGTTAATCACAACCCTTTGAGTTCTGTCACACAGCCATCATATTCCAATTAAACTCATGTCACTGTCGACATTTAGTATTAAAGCTAGAAACGGTAAGAGATTCAGAATTAAACTGTACATCATTGAATCATTGAAAGAGACCCCAAAATGACTATAGGTTAGAGATCTCTAGCCAACATTCGACCAGGTATTATAAAGAATTATAGAATGTTTTCCTAGAAAGTAGTTCACCAGCCCTATCAGCAATATCGTGCATTACAGAGAAGCTAAATAACAGATCTAGAAAGAAAGTGCAAGCAGCATAGGAAATTTGGTATCTTTCAAAGGTCTTCAATGCGTTCTACAAGAAAAATAGTAAGAGGCAGGGGATATGAAAAAACATTATAAAAGGTGCAAAGGCAGATGGGCATATTTATTTGAACCTATGTCACACTTAATGTAAGTTTGTTTGACATATCGGTTAGAAAATTTATGTATGGATGAGATACCTCCATGTTGTGTGCTTATGCAATTCATTGCCAAAAAAATCTTGCAAATATTCGAAATTACAAAATTATTCAAAAAAACCCCGTAAGACCTTTAGACATTACAGAATAGAATACGTTCTGGCCTACATCTATTGTTGGGCTCCTACCTTCCTCTAGAAATATGGCACTGGCAAACTGTACCAAGTAAAAGAATTTTCACACTCCTTTGGATGTTGTCATCTTACACATCTTAAATGCCTACATTAATTTGGAAAACAATTTTTTTAAACTCTTGTTCTTTATGACACTGACTTCCATTACAACTCAAGAGTCAAAAAGCATTTACCAAGTGCTACATAGTGGAGATACTGTGTTAAGCTCTATCTTGGCTGAGTATGGTTAAAACATTTTTGTACTGTTACAACTTCATGTGAGTGCAGTTTTAGCAGAATTTTTATACTCTCCTCCAACCCACAAAAGGTAAAAATTGGTTTAAATTAATTAAAAATTGTTGCCTAAAACTTAACCAGATATTAATTTGTAATTTCTCAATGCCTTCTAATTGTCTAATCATTGTCTTAGTTGTACTAGATAACTTACTTCTCCTTTTTCCAACATCCCCTTTGGAGGTAGCAGCTTCATTCAGGAGTACCATTCCCATGGTGATAGCAGCATCTGTAATTGCTGTTGTCAAGGAAAATAGCAGATGTGTGGATATCTCAGAAAGCCACAAAGGTACATCTGTGAACTAAACCTTTCAAGTTCAAAAAAGGAAAGGAAGTATTTATATTTAAAATTGCACATCACAATCTGTACAGTACAAATACATTCACCTGTGGCAAAAAAAAAAAAAAAAAAAAAAAGAAGTGTAGTAAGATATTTCTTTGGACATTCTAGATTTAAAAAAAAAAGGAAAGAAGGTTGAAAAAGGTTTTAAAGACAAGTTGTCAAGTAGGACACAAATTTTGAACATACAGATCATAAAGTTGCTTAATAACACATGAGCAAGATAAACTAGAAAACAAAATATTCATCCATTTGAGTCTGTTCTCAGTTCACTGTTAACTAAAATGTGGATAGATTATCATACAAGCTTTAAAAACCTCTGGTTCAGTTCATCATACATAGAACAATGAAAAGCACATTTTTTCTCAAGGAGTAATATGATTAACAGGAGAGTCTATGGTATTTTTATTCTCTTTTTTCTTTTTTTTTTTTAGTAAGTTTTTTGGCTGGGGGATGATGATTAAAATACAAGAAATTCTTTACTGGCCCCTTAGGAGAGGGTCATATTTCACTAACTGAGAGAGATATTTGCCTTAACTTGTTCCTAATAATACTTAAACCTCTAAAATACCTGCTATAGTTTCTGAAATATTGAGCACATTGCAAGTTCTTTATCTAAACTTATTTCCATGTTGATTTAACTTTCAATTTACATTTGAAAATCCAAGCATAACATGCATTCTAGTAATTCTATTCAGGAAATATTCTTTAGCTACATGCAGTTGTTGAAAACAAGGGATTAGCAACTTCTCCCAGCTCAAGAATCTGATTTTTTTTTATCATAGGTTGAAGATACTAATGAAGACAAAACATAGTTCTGCAGTGTCTCATAGTTTCTTTTTGCTTCAGTTCGGGAAACAATAAGCAATGATTCTAATAGTCCACTTAATGCTATTCAATGTGCAATCAATCCTCAATTAGACCACAACCATGCCAGAGGATTATTCCACAGGCCTCAAGGGCTGAGGAATGAGGCACACTTAAGCTACTAATCACTGTATGTCTCATTCCAGTGAAGAAGGATGACTTCTAACTCAGAAGTTGAAACAAATGAAGCACAGTCTGAAAATAATTTATTTGAATGTGAATTTAATTTAAGCATGAATTGTACACAATCAAGATGTATTTCAGTATTTTCTAATGCCCTGAAATCTAATTGTACTGATACTCACAATAACCCAGAACATTACTTTGGCTTAAAAACTTCTGGCTTCAGTTACACAAAATGGCTTTATAAAAGGCATGGAACCATCCCTCTTGTGATACTTTTAGACACTTGAGAATAGAGAGGCCATATAAAAGCTTCAGAAGAGGAGGACTCTGGAATCCATTTAAATTCAAACGCAACAAAAATAGCATAGAGAAACCTGACTAAGTTTGTACTATATCACCAATCAAACTTTCAGGAGTTTCAGCCTGATTTACATCCTAGTTATTCATATTGGTGTTGTCTTTTAGTATTACCTAAAACCAACTCTGAGGAGATTATTTTTTACATTTATTATTTATGACCTTTTTGGTTTTGTAAATTACATCTGATAGTTTCAGGGTTAGCCCTGTTCATCTTGCAAATTCTTACAGTGTTGTTTGCCACTGTACAAAATCAGAATTTTTTCTAACCTTATTTACATTTTATGATTTGTGCCTAAAAATATTCTTGCCTAGAGAAGTATACACATCTCCAGAACCAGTAGATGTATAATAGTACTTTACTTTCCTTAAATATACCAGATATTAAAATAATTGAATTATATTTTCTTAATAGCTTCATTTCTTAACTTTTAAACACAGATACATTGCCTGAAACAAACTCTATTTGAACTCTTTGTAAGCATTCATGATACCACATAATTTTCTCACAGTATTTTAATACTTTATTCCTAACACCTACCTGATTTTCAAGCACTTTATTTCAAACACCAGACTTAGTATGTTTTCCCATCTAAGTACACACTTGATCCTTAAGCATGCACATTTCCTTTCTTAAAGCACCTATAAATGTTTTTAAGAATATCACCTTTTCTTTTTCGATATCATAAATCATTATCAATATGAGTCTAGGCTGGCATTATACTTTCTTTTACTGTTAAAGACCTGTGCAGTATCTTAATAGACACAGTTTATTCTTGCATGAAAGCACTTGAGAATTATTCAACTTAGTAAAAGGTATCTGTGGATTCAAAGCATAAAATATTTAACTCTAGACTATGTTTTTGCATCTTTTAGCCACTCAAGCAAATGTGCTTCTTAACAATGATAATAAGCATTAATATTACTAACTTATGCTTAAAGAAACCCTTAAAAATGCTCTTGTCTTCAGCCTGGGTTCAGTGAATGAATGCCTCCTGGTGTAGCTAGGTATTTGCAAAAGGCAAATAAAAACAGGGCAATTGCCAGAGCAGCTGACAGCTGCTATGCAAGGGTCTGCACTTCCACTGGAAAATTTTAAGAGCCAGAAATTGAAAATTGTTGAAAAGCACTGATCTACAGAGTTGGTAATTTCATAGAGAGGACACACACCATATTTGAAGGTACTTCAGCAAATCCAGTATCATTCAATTAGTTGATGAAAAACAATTATGTTTCATGTTGTATTGAAAAATGCCCAACTGTAAATTTGTCTCTTCTGATCTCTGTGACATACATCTAAGAGATTTCAGAATCTTTCTTAAAATCTCATATTATTAATTAATTTAAGGTCAAGGAGTAGGAGAATGAGGTAATGGAAACAAATTTCTTATTTTTTTTAGCTATCATCTCATTAGACTTCATTACACCTCAGAGGAGTCAGGCAGCCTCCAGAACAGCCTGATGAGCCTGCGAGGTTAACAGACCGTATTGGTGGATAACACAAGAATGAAAAATGCACAGTATGTTTTGCTGCTTTGGAAGTTGATTTCCACACCTAATTAAGTAGCATGCCTAAATATGCTATAATCTTGTGCTTTTGTTTCTATATTTTTCCACTGTGGTGTTCTTCCCTTTTTTCTTATCCTTAAGATCAAGCATACAAAAACCTTATTTCATTGCTTTGTCACCATCATTCACTTCTACATAATCTCTTGGGAACACAATTTGGTTCCATTATGCATGACTGATAGAGTCTTACTACTGAGAGCTAAATGTATATTGTTCTTCTGCCTCTGACTCAAAATTTCAGGTTCTTATGCTCAGTGACTTTGCATGAGCCCTACTGACAAGAGACAGACATCTCCCATTTAAATTCATTCTGTAGTTAAGTTTCCTTACACCAAAGAAGCACTTAATATACTTCATTTAAATTCACTCTGTAGGACAGGAAATGTTGTTCATAATAGGTGCAATTTTAATGCTACAGAAAAGATTTGTCTTTTCCTTTGTAACCAATCGAATTTTTTCTTTCTTCTCAATCAACATCTCATATCCACCTACACAGCTGTCACATTAAACTCTTGTCTTGGGAATTCAAATTAACAAACTGAAAAAAAATAATCCATTTTTACTTAGGTGCATGTTTTATCAGCATCAAAGTTAACTACGTTTAACAGTAATCTTGAGAAAAAATTCTCAGGTAAATAGCAACTACTAATTCCTAAATAATAGTTTAGATTTATCTCCTGTACAACAAATAATTTACTTAATAATTGAAACTCTTTTGATAATGAAAATATTTACTGTAAATTTTAAACTCACTCTGGATAATATTCAGTGTTACTGCAAAAAGGAAGAAAAATATGACATATTACATTAAAATTAGTTTTATTTCTCCAGAGAATGACATAAAAACTTGATGAAAATGGACATGAATTAGAAGTATTGATTAGTGTCTACCAAAGGGAGAAACTAAATAACTAAAGAAACATTTCAACTTCAAATACAGCCTATCCAGCCCCACTATTCCTTACCTTTCTTGCTGTATCTTCACAGCCAGACCTATATTTACAGCTCAACACTACATACTTCAACAGCTGTTCAGTTTACAACAGTCAACATACTCCATCTATATTCATCTACAGCTAATTAAAACAGAAAAGCTGATTGTGCAGTTTGCTTCACATTGTTTCTCTTGGAAAATGACAGTTCTTAGTTCCACAGGTACATCTGTTTTACCTCTTTCTCAATAACTTTATCTTTTCTAACTCAACCAACAGTACTTCAATATCCTTGTCTTCAGTTCCTCTTCCCTGTCTCTCCAAGAATGCTGAACTACACTTTTTTTTTTTTAATATGTACGTCATAATTTCTGCTGACTCCTACTACCTATGACCCCCATTGCAAGAATAAACACTAACAGTGTAGAACATCATCTGCATGAGGAAAGAGTAGAACCTGTCAGCTTCAAAAAGGAGAAAAGAAAGAGAGATCTCTATGACAAATTCTATAAGGCTCCAAACAGAAGGAAAAAGGGAAGGGAAGGGAAGGGAAGGGAAGGGAAGGGAAGGGAAGGGAAGGGAAGGGAAGGGAAGGGAAAGGAAGGGAAGGGAAAGGAAAGGAAAGGAAGGGAAAGGAAAGGAAAGGGAAGGGAAAGGAAAGGGAAGGGAAAGGAAAGGAAAAGAAAGGAAAGGAAAGAAAAGGAAAGAAAAGGAAAAGAAAGAAAAGGAAAGAAAAGGAAAGAAAAGGAAAAGAAAGAAAAGGAAAGAAAAGGAAAGAAAAGGAAAAGAAAGAAAAGGAAAGAAAAGGAAAGAAAAGGAAAAGAAAGAAAAGGAAAGAAAAGGAAAGAAAAGGAAAAGAAAGGAAAGGAAAGAAAAGGAAAGAAAAGGAAAAGAAAGAAAAGAAAAGGAAAAGAAAGAAAAGAAAAGAAAGTACTATTTCTCATGATTTATTAAAAAAGTCACAGGATACAATTATCATGCAACTATAGGTTAAAAACAAAAATTCTCTGGATACATTAAGTTAACACTGAAAATTCATTACTACAGAAAGCTGTGCCATAATTAATTTAAAAAAGAATTAAAAATAAATAAGAATTTATACATTGGTGACTAAGAGCTATGCTATTCTGTATGCTACATCTGGCTCAAAAATCCCTAAATAATTTATTATGGTTGGATGTTCTGTTTTGCACAATCCTTCTCTAACTATCTGCTTATCAGTCATTGCTGCACTTACACAAATGGATGTAAACTGTGATAATAACTCAGGAAGATGTTAAACTTTGCTCGTATCATAACGCGTTTATAGATACGCTCTTTTCATGTGGCAGAATTAGCTATCTAGCCAACAAATAAGATTGTCATGGCAGTATTATTCATGCCCACAGTTATTCGTCTGTGTAAATTATGCAGCCCTAAGGTCCTCAGGAATTCTCACTCATTAGAAGCAACAACCTTGCATTACAGCCTGCAAAATGTCCAGCACGTTGATAGCTCCACGGAAGTTACTGCTTTCATTTCCATTTAACAAAAAAAGATTTCTGTTTAAATAAAATCTATTCCATGCTCTTATTTTAAATATTTTTTTGTTTGTGCAGACTGCCATATTAATCTACAGTAGTCATACCTCCATTTCTGTGACACTATTTAGATAATTTTTCTAAATCACAGGAAAGTCTCAATGTTGATATAATACCACATAATTGCCCAAATTATTATGTTTGTCAAATACACCCTGTTGCTTGAAGCAGTGCCCATCAGGCTGCCATGGGTATAAATACCATTTTATATTACATAAAACTTCCTTCGCAATTACAAATTATAACAAGGTTCTGTTGCTCCTGGGAAGGAAATCAAAGTTGGTCAATTTCAAAGAAAACTGAAAGCAGATAGTTAAAAGAACAGCATCTTTTTATGGATGATTAAATGGAACCTCAAATTAAATTTATTCCTGTTATTCAGTATTATTTTTTCTCTGTAAGTAAATATGTACCAAAACAAAAATATATTAAAAAAAATAAAATTACCCACCAATCCATGGCTAGGAATGAGCTGTAAAGCAGCATGAATTAAAGCAAACCTTGTCTTTTATTTTCTGCCTAGGTAACAAAAAGCAAAAACATCATGGCTCTCATTATTCTAATTAACAGAATGTTCTGTTCATTTTTAAATGAAAATATCACTTAAGACTCCACTAATTCTATAAGGATGGCAAAAAATCCAAAGGGAAGATAAAACCTTATGCCAGCCAAGATTGTTATACACAACAGCAGAAGCCATGAATCACACCTTCAGAAGTTCAGACTGGAATGTTAGGAACAACTTCACTTCTGTAACTGCCCCAAAAAAATGCAATCTCAAATCCTTGGAGTTTTTAAAAACTTGCACTAGACAAAGACATAGAAGACTAAATCCAGTGTTGGTGATAACTCTGCCTTTTAAAAGGAAGATTGGAATATGTAATCTTCAGAGGTCCCCTTCTAAAGAACATTTAGATAATTTCCATTATAATTTCTTGAAGTTACCTCCCCAAGGCAAGAGAAAGGAGAGCAAAATAACAAAACTTGTTGTTATCATTATATAAATCCCTCAAGGTTTCAGAGTAGTAGGAGAGAAGACTTCACACTGTTCATCACCCTGCTTGGTAGAATATCATGGGATAAAGCTCAGGAGGAATAAGGAGCCCAGGAAAGCTTATTAGTATGCAAGGGTCACCTCCTACAAGCCCAGGAATGATGCACTGGAACATAGAGGAAGTCAGGCAAAAACGCCAGGAGGCCTTCATGGATGAACAAGCTGCTCCTGGACAAACACAAAAAGGCCACCTACAGAGGGTGGAAGCAAGGACAGGTAGCCGGGGAGGAATACAGTGAAATTGTCTGAACAGCCAGGGATCAGTATTTTGGCTGTTAGAAAACATACCATAGAATAAAATTAAGTACAAAAAAAATGAAATTGCCTTTTTTTTTCTTTTAGAATTGTTTTACTGAGGTAATATTGCATATGCTGTATTATTACAGAGACTACTACTAGGATGTAGTAACCATCTGTTAAACTAAGACTACTTGTTTAAAAAAACAAAAAATTTGGAAATACACCTAGAATATAATCAGTAACATTGTACAAATTTTACTGTGTTCAATTTTGCTTTATAATATAATTACAACTGAGTATCTGATCCTGTCACACATCCTTACCCATATCGTAATTACGTAGCTACAGCTCCGGGAAAAAGCAGCTCTTTATATGGAAATCACTTAGCAGACTGAGTAGAATTGCTATCTAAAAGCAAGTATAGAAATGCAATGCAAATTCATATTTTCTCAGCACAGGTATTGGAAATTAACTTTGTAGAGAAACACAACATTGCATTTCAACATCAAGAAAAAAGTGACAACAATATCCTTGTTCTTACTACTACTACAAAGTGAAAAACAAGTACATGAAGCATGTACATTAGCAGTATACCAATGTCTTAAGATTCAATACCTCTTTTAAACTTTAAAGGATAAAGTGAAGGTACTGCTGTTTATAAATCTGATATACTTTTTTCCTGATTTCCACATGTTCTATCACTTCCCAAATAAACAAATAATGAGGCAGCAATGAAGCAGATAATAATTGCTATCAATATATAAAGGATAAAGAAATACTAATTCTTTCATGTATAAATCTTGAAATCTGTCAAGATTTCTTGTCACTTTTGAAATTTGTGTGGCCAAAAACTCAGCTAAGCAGTAGTGAGCCATGAAACGAAACCTTAGAGAATTCTTTTTGCAAGTAGCAAAGAACAATCTCACTGAAAGAACTCTTTCAGCCAGCTGCTTTAATGTATTTAGCCAACTTCCCAGTTTAAAGACAGTCTCTGCCAACAAAAATATATCACTTTCATGCCTGAGTCAGAAAAACAAAATAAGCCATGAACAAAAGTTTTGTTTATTTTTAATCTTAGCTGGGTTTTTTGGGTTTACTTTTCCCATTCTCAAGTAGCCAACAGGATTTGTTTAAAATAATACATTTCATAGAATCATAGAATGGTTTGGGTCGGAATAAATTGTGGCAGTTCAGAGGAAACAAAAAAACCCATAAAAATAAATTGTGAGTACACGAAAACAAAGGAGATACTAATAAGATGTCTACTATCTATTATACAAGACACTTCTAATCAGCAACATAACAGCTGAGTTTTAAAAAAAATGTAACAATTAAATTAATAATCACTGAATTTTGACTTGGCAGTTTTAAGGTAAGGCTATTTTAACTTCTCACTCTCCTCCCAAGAAGAGCAGCCCAAACTTAGAAATAAGGAACAAATGTCCAAAAATACGCTTCCAAAACTCTAACATACACAATGGGATTTTGACATAACATTAATTAGGGTATGGTATAAAACGTGAAGAATTGACAGAATGACAGAGTGGTTGAGATTGGAAGGAAGTTCTTGAGATCATCTAATCCAGCCCTCTGCTCAAGCCACCAGCTACGGCAGGTTGCCCAGAACTGTGTCCAGTCACGTTTTGAGTATCTTCACAGATGGAGACTCTGCAGCCTCTCTAGGCAATCTGTTCCAGAATTTGATCACCCTCACAGTAAGAAGTGTCTTACTGTCTTCAGATTGAATTTCCTTTTTCTATTTGGGCCCACTGCCTCTTGGCCTGTAAGAGGGCACTACTAAGAAAGTCTGTCTACTTCTTAATTTCCTCCCATCAGGTATCTATACATATTGATAAGATCCTCCTGATAGCATTCCCTCATCCAAGTTAAACAGATTCAGCACTCTTATCCTTTCTGCATAGGAAATACGTTCCAATCCCTTAATCATCTTTGTGACTCTTTGATGAACTTGCTCAAGTAAGACTTTATCTTAAAAGTAAGTAGCTTTGACTTACTGAAGTGGTGCTGGTTTTATCTAGCTCTGGACTGCCCTGGAACTCCTGGAAGTGTTCAAGGCCAGGCTGGATGGGGCTTTGAGCAATCTGGTCTAGTGGAAGGTGTCCCTGCCCATGGCAGGGGGGTTTGGACTAGATGATCTTTAAGGTCCCTTCCAACCCAAACTATTCTGTAATTCTGTGACCTTTCCTGTACTGGGTATTTATGATGGAACAACTGTATTTTAATAGTGGATAATGCTGAAGAGGGTTTTTACTCAATGAACAAAGCTGATTAGAAGCAGGGTTTAAAGAAACAAGATTGAATATGAGTTTTTATTGCAGATTATTAAGACATATTAACAACAAAAAAATCACTTGCTCTGACTTTGTAAGAATGAAAGAGCAAATGCATGTCTCTGAGTCCTTCTGTGAGGAGACAAAGTCAGAACAAATGAGATTGGGTTATTTGTGTGAAGATGTAGCAGTAAACTGTTTAGATGGGGAAAAAAACAAACCCAAACCAAAGGCTACTGGAGGACAAATGATCTTCATGCACGATTAGTAAATTTCAGCGTGCTTTCTTTGTTGATTAAAAGAAATTAAATAGTTTTTAACTTTTATAATAAAGAGTAAAAAAAAAAAAGTTTCTGATACTGAAACGATAACACTGAAAGAAAAAACAAGATCAGTAAACAGCCATAAGAACAGTAAAGGAGAAAACAAGGTACATATTAGTGAAAATATACATATTAGTGAATCCCAGCTTTACTTGGCAGTAAACAGCAACAACACTGGATACTCATTTAAACATATAGTAAGCCAAAATACACTACCTCCTCGAAAGCTCCATGATATTCACTGTCAGAACACTTTTATTTAACAGCACATTGTGCCTCAGTTTGCTTTCTTCTATTCATCACTGGCTTGAAGGATACTCAGCAGAAGAATAATATGGGATTCCGCAACAAACTGAGCTTGACTGCTTCCATGTATGTAACTCTGTAAAATAAAAATGAAAAACAATCCTTTTTAAGACACAGAAATCCATTGAAATGGTGCAATTTGGTATTTAAGAATCAAAATAAAACCTATTTCGAAGAAAACACAGCAATAGCTGTAAGCTAGCACAGTTTCTGTATGTATGTTACTGTAAAAAGGAGTCTTAAAAATACCATATTTAGGCAAAGCACATATATAAGATGAATATACTGTTTTATACACAAATACATTATACCGAACTCTTTCAACACTGCTGCTACTGGGGAATAAAGAACATGCATTAATTTGTTCAGGAATTTTTTAAAAGGGAGGTGATGAAATCAAGGACACGCCTCAGCACAGTTTTCACAGAAGTGAAAACCTAACCCTGCCTTTAAAAAAATCATCCTACTTTAGTGTTACTGAGATTGAGTGAAGTTTCTTAATACAAAGTCTATTCCATCTTTTTCCAATAAAGTATAATTGTGGCCATTAAAAAATCCCAATCCAAAAAATGTCATTTACATGGAATTGTAGTAAATGCAATCACAGATGTTAATACTAAATGCAAACCTAACACAGCCTACTTCCCCTCCCCCTCAAAATAACAATTAGTTAATGGGCTCATCCTGTACTTTTGCTATTAAGAAACTATAAATTATTAAGATGTTACGTTTATTGTTAACTAGGTATTACAGAAAAAAAGTAAGCAAAAATTTGAAGGAGTGCAAACATGCACAAAACAAGATAGTCACTCTCTTCCTCTACAACAGCAATTACAAACACGATGATCTTAAACGGCACTTCCAAGTATCGCCATTCTATGATATGTAATAATCTTAGCAATGGATACAATTTTCATGCCAATTTAATAGAAATAAAAATGTTCACTATTATTAAGGTAAAGAAAAACGAAGCTTTTTCTCCTTCTTATGGATTTAGGGGTTTGTTAGTTTGTTTATAACTCATACACTGTGCTTTAATCAATTTTAGCCTGAATAATTTGGCCTGAATATCATCCTTGTCTGCATTCAGAACAATTCAAGTTTGAAATACATTGATACTTCAGCATGCAAAAGAATTCCTTCATCCACACTGGTTAAATTCTGGTTGATGCACTTTCAAAACATGCAGTTCTTTCTCAGTAGATGGTTATTTATTTTTTTCAAAATTCAGTCATATTCTGCTCATTTAAATAACCAAATCAAAACTTAAGCAAGCAAGAACTTAATATATCTATAGATTCTAGCTCTTTTTTCTTTAACAAGATAAAAAATTGTTATAAGAATAGATTGCAGTATGTTATGACAATGAGACAATCTGTATTTATTTTTTGCAAGGCTCTTTATAAATCTCACTAAGGCTACACATACACACACATATTTAAAATACATAGATTTAAGAATTTTTAACATTAATAATGACATTAAAACGCTTAATAGATTGTGTACTCTGACTCACCTGTGACCACAGTCTTGCAAATAGTGATCCTCTGTCATTATTTCTCATGCAGCCAAAGCAATCCATATATACACACACACAGGCATATATATACACTTGATTTGGATTCAAATGTGCCTAACAAGTGGTAAACATCTATCTCTTCTTACAATCATAGCACCAAGTTATAGTCTAAAGCTTATGATGATTACAATATATACTGTATTTGTTAATACAATGTGAACTGAAATAAAAAATGGGCCTTTCACTAAAAAAGTGTAACAGGGTCTAGTTGCACTGTTTAGTTATTAAATACCTATATGCTTTTATACATAATCCCTATTACTGTTCCTATACACACATGCTAAATTGTATAAAAATACACTTTAAGAACTTAAGAAATACACTATGTTGAAGAGACTTTATTATCTCCGATTAATAAAACTGTTTGTCATATGACTCCTCAGACTGTAAATGCCTTTGTACTTGTAACACATTTAGATGAGAGATGTCATCTTTATTTATATGCTTTATACTTTAAGTAAACTAGTTTCCTCTTCCTTTTTATGATAGCAATTTAATTCACCATAACAATATTTAAGGAACAGAATCCAAAGTACCGACATAAACAGAGATGCAGAGACTGTATAGAGAAAATCACTCCTTTCCCCAAAACAGTTTACTGACATGAAATTGTTTATCTTTCATCCAAATAGGGAAGTAAAGTATAATCTCTGCAGAAAGGAAATTTTATGCTACTGCTTCTGATTACATAAATCTGTCCTACACTGAGGTGGAATCACATTTTGGGTGCTAGTCATCATCAGCCAACACAGTAACTATTTAAAATACCACTGTCTGAGGAATGGATCCATAACCACTTCACAAAGGAATTATAAGGTGTGGGTTTTTTTCAAGCAACCTTCAGACCTATGTTCTAAACCACAGGCAATAATCATAGTAGAAGTTTTCAGAGGACAAAAGATCAGTACTTTATGCAAAAATTATGGCAAACATCTTTTCTTGGAGACACTAGTGAGAACTGCGTGGCATTTGTTCATGTCATTCCCATCAGGCAAATGATGACACTGTGATGCCACTCAAAGCATAGGGCAGATTTATATAGATACATTTTTATTCCAATGTACCCAACACACACCAGTTTTGTACACTGCAATGACCACCGACTCATAAAGTTTTGAAATTCATGCCCATAATTAAAATACATTTCAAGACAATTTTTTAAAGGAATTTTGAATAATTTGCTTCTCAACAGTTTGCAGTTTTCTCCATATTTTTGTGGTTCCACAGCAGTTTTTAATCAGGTAAAGCTCTTGACATTATATCCATATGAGCAAAATAATGACATGTGAGTTTTCCTTATTTTCATACTTCTTTCTCTCTGTAAGAAGACTGCTGAATGACTTACATGCAAGGCATATATTCTCATGAAATTTTATTTGATGCTACAAACTATTATGGGACTGAGAAGTAAAATTTCTGGCTTTGCCACCTTTTCTGCTTTTTTGACAATGAACGAAGCTCCGTGAAGCTTATCTGGCTGCAAACATTGGAAAATGCTTTAAATAAACTAATGGATAAACTCAGTATTTCCCTTTCATTTTAGAGGCATGAAGAGGGAGTACCATGTAAGATGCAAAGTGAATGTCCATCTGGTTTGAGAGGCAACCATGGTTTGAGCAGAAGAGCTGTGGCCACACAATTATCACAGCCACACAACGGAAGCAACAGCAAATGCCACACTGGTAGAACTAATAGGGAAAACAAAGCATGAGTGACTGACACTTTGAATAAACGGGTCCTTTTCCAACGACAACATTCTCCTATCTCAGATCTGATTCCACAGAAGCAATCTGAATTCCTAACTGATATAATCATGTCCACAAACCAGCCCATTTTCTTTGGCAATGACAAACAATTGTTCAATGCATGCAAATTTCTACAAAGCTGTGTTAAATATTTATCTGCTATTCATAAACTCATTAAACATTTACTGTTCTTGAACTGCAGATGGTATGTATACATAATCCCTCACTAGGATAGTCAATGATAACAATAATGTAATATATTTTTAAATTACCCTAAATACAGCATATGCTTGTGATTTCCCACTTCAAGAGTGATAGTTGTCATGGTTCAGTAAAATACTTAAGTATAATCTGTGCTCTTTCCTTCCTTTTTGTAACTGCAATGTAAATAAAATAGAAACAAAGTAACTGGAAATGAAGCCTTTGTGAGCTAGGTGTTAACTATTAAGGCAAAACAATTAACTTGTTGAGTACCCAAGTTCAAAACTAAAACATAGCTTTAGGTTCTCCAGTACTCTTTTCTAAAATAAACATGAGGATGTTATTTTTTTTATGAGTATGTGAATGATGGATGCTGGGGTGGAGTGGCCAGATTAAACCGAGTTGGATTTAGTAATAGCATACTGTATAAAGCTACTCCATAAAGTATTATCATTCTGGATAAGTAAGAAATAACTTGTCCTGACCTTACAAGACATGGCACATCTATTAGTATGTACCGGAAGCCCATCAAAGGTAGACTATTTTTAATAATAATCTGTCTTAATGATAAACTGAATTTGGATTCCATGTTGAAGAAACCTCTAGGTGGAAAGCACCCCCTGGTACAGGCCATATTCAAGCTAACATACATCAAAAGAGGTGAAACAATACTCCAGTTAACTGCCCCCAAAGAGAGAGAGTTATGAATTCCACACCAGTAAGATAAACAGTATTAATTTATCTTCCTTTACTACATTACCATTGAGGGTGAGATTCATCGGAGAGAGGAACATTATGGAAGGCCATTAATTACTTAATTATGTTTAGGCCTTCAGAATGACCTTTCAAATACAGTCCATCAATTTTGACAAGAACATGTATTAGCTATAAGAATTTGTTCTTTTCCCTCAATTTAGAGAGGAAAAAAAGAACCCCACAAGATTCTCTATCACATCAGAATTTCATATGTTTTCTAATTCATGTCCAGGATTAATATGACATTCATCAGTATTTACGTACTTAAAAAGGAAAAGTTCTAAAACATTCTCTGACAATACCATCTACACACCTTACCATTGTTAAATGTGAACTCAGGAAAAGTTTAATCTGTTCAAGTATTATGTTTCCTAAAGAACAGCACAGTTTCACTTAGTTTCACTTGAAGTCATGTTCTCCATACATGGTTATTTTATTATTCATAGTAGTGCCTGTTCAGTTCATGCAGGCAGATCACAGTTTTAACTTGCTTAGGAACCCAACAGTGGACTTCACATGAACTTCTCAGCCTAACCTAGAAACCTAATGTCATTCCCTGTTTTCTTTCCATCACTATCTTCTGGGGATAGTACATACATAGTAGACTGTTTTCCCTGTAGGAGCCCACCCTGAAAAGCCTTATCATGACCACTGATGTGAAAAACACGAGATGATGCTGGTTTGGGCCTAAATTGTTCACACTCTAGAACATCTGTTAGCACATGGATACAATCTGTCAAAAAATTTTTAAACCTTTTTTTAGATGGGGGGATGTAACGTGGATATGAGTTTATT